GCTGAGTAACTGAATACTAAACCTGGTTTGCAAAAACTCGTTCTTAGACATACACTTATAAGAAGGGCAGGATGTAGATGGCATAGAAAAAAAAAAATGGATGAAATTATATTTGTTAAGCTGAAATTCTGGGTTAAAATTTAGGACCAAATCAGAGTAACCAATCATAACAATTTGGAAATATTGTCACTGTTGGTCCCCCTCTCTAGGATGAGAACCTCTCTGGAGGATCCATCTGAGGCTTTTGAAGACTCCTTAAACATCCGTCTCTTTTGCACTGAGAAGTAGGCTGTGGGTACTGTCAAGGCATGAAAAGTCCTCGTAAGTGGAAGTCTATAGAGGACAAGCCAAGTCCTCTGGGCTATCATCAGATGTGCTGCTGTGATGCTAATATCCCTTTCTGACCAAAGATAAATGTTCTTGGGGTATGTCTGTGGGAAAGTTGGCACCCTCTGCTCATGCCAATTCCACATTAAAAAAGGATTTATTCTATGGTGACTGTACAATAAAGGTTACTGTCTTCTGTGGGCTTCCCAGGCCCGTGAGGTGTCTTACCTCTGTTAGACTATTTAGACTATATGTTTTAAGGTATGTTGACAGAAGCTGGAGTGTAATGGAATTATCTGTGCTAGTTTTCACTGCCTGATAAGTCTGATGACAATCTCCTGAGCTGGAGAAACTAGCTGCTGTGATTAGACTGCTCAGTAGGTAGATGAACTTGCTTGGCTATCTGTAGCTTATCCTGCAGCATGAACCATGTTTATACAATGCAAAATGCATTGTTACCAATATATAAATAATATAATGAAGTATATTGGAGAAGAAAATGTTGTTCAAGTGAATTAATATGCAAATTGTTTCTATTTAATTGGACATTAGTTGTAAATGTTATAGAGACCCATAGCTAGTAAAAGCAGTGAGTGTTTTGTTACAGAAACTATGGCATGGTTGGATCTATAGAAAGATAAAGGCATTCATGTCAAGTAGGCACTGAGATGGCACAGCTATGTCCACAGCACTCTCAGATGTGGATTGTGTTTTGGTTTTTGAGAGTGAGAAGAGTTTTATACTGTGTGCCAGTGGATTTTTTTGTGTGTTTTTCCCCTTGGAACATTTGGGAACATGTTCCCAAATACAGAAGCATTCATCCATAGGCATAGGACCATCACGTTCACTTGCCTGGGCCTTTCAACAGGGAAGGGAAAAGGCACATCTTTCTTTGGAGAAAGGGTAATTAGTACCTGCAGACAACTTTGGAAAGCCAAATGTGCTGTTGATAAGGTGTAAACATAAAGAGCAAAATCAAAGCACGTGGTTTGCCTGTGGGTATCAGATATTTCCATCTTCTTTTGACTTGCTCTTTCAGCACTTGACCAAGTTTAATATTGCTTGATCCTGCACCGGTGTAAAACTACAAATCATTGATCGTGCTTCTCTTGAGGTTAATGGAAATCAGAACCATAGAAAGAAGCAACCTGTGGCCTTACTTGCTGCTCTTAAAAGCTGAAATTACTTTCTAATATGATTTTATAAAGCATAAAAGACTTTATCTGACTTCAAATCTATGAATTATTAGACAAAATATAAGTAAAAGTGTAAGTGATAGATGTCAGGTGCAAATGTTAAACTACTCTATTTTATGTGAAACTAATATTGATTTTTTTCTAATTTATTTCTATTTTTACTGTCCTGAACTATTGAAAGTACTGAATTTGTCACTCATCACAAAAATTAAGAGCTTTAAAAAAAAAAAAAATTTGAATTTTTCATGAGATCTGGGAATCAACCTTTTACAATCAATAGAAGATTATGATTGTAGTAATATTGGAAATACGCTGAAGTCTGATTCCATTATGATATATGCTATGTTGGCATAAACTGAGTTTGGTACTTGATTCTTAGATTGATATTTCTTTTGGTTTTATTTATGAGGAGGAATTGTTAATTTTTGCAGTTCTGCAAAATTAATGCGTAGGTATGCATAGTCCACCAGTAAAAAGTTTGAAGAACAATTTCAGACCCAACTCAGTGGGAATCTAGAAAATAATCTCTTCCTCGTTTGCTACCCCCTCACATTCTGTTTAGGGGTTCCCTTGTTGGCCTCAGCTGCCTCTTTTCTTCTTCTGACAGACTCCCTGATTATTATTAAACACTTGTTTTCAGGTCTCACTTGAGTCGTCACGTTGACTTGCAGGCAGCCAGGGACAGAAAGGCTTAGGGAAAATATGTGCAGTAGGAGAGTATGTAACAGTGAATATATGCAAATACAGTATTGCTTTCCAAAACATCTGCAAAGTACTTAAATTTCTTGGCCAGTTTTCAGAGCTGGAACTCCTGCAAAGTTGCAAATCTTGGCTACCTTAGTGTTTTGTGTAAGTTGTGTTGGATGTGAGCGTTCTATACATCTGCTAAATCCCTTCTGAAATAGTCTGTGTTTTGGTTTGTGGGGTTTTGACTGTTATTCTGTGGATAGGCTGTGTCTCAACCCTCTTATGCTTCTAAGATCTGGTCAATCTGGTGAATGAAAATGAGGTTAACTTTAAAGTTAAAACTATAAGTTGTGGTTCTTCAATTGCCATCTGTAATTGCTTTGTATGTGTGCATTTGTAAGTGAGGCTTCTTAAGCTGCAATAGCAACTGTTCTGGTTGATTTGAAAATATGGGAATAAATTAACCAATATAAAGAAAAACTATCTCTAGCATGAAAAAACTTATATGGACTGTAAATGGTTTAACTGAATCTAAACAGAGCTCTGTGTGATCTTGAATAAAAAAACTATGTCAATTATTTGTTAGCAAGTGTGTTCTAGAAGAAACCTAGGGGACAAGGCAAACTAGGCAGCTGAAGTTAATTAGTGTCACATCCAGATCCCAAATGCAGAGGGACTTAAAAGCCCCAGCACTACTCTGTGATGATTCTTTTCTTTGGGAAATACTCTGAATTTGGCTCTCATTTGAATGTGGAATATGGGGATAATCTTTTTGTATGTGTTTTCTGTGAAAGCTTTCAGCAGAACACACGGCAGGTTTTAGCTGAAAGTGTATTTGTTACAGATATTTTATCTGGAAATTCATAAAAATATAGTATCAATTACATCAAGTGGGAACAAGTAAAAAAAATATATTCCCCGTTTGGCCTACATCAGTTTACTCTGGTTTTTCTACCTGCTCAGGACAGGTAGAATTATGGAAATGTGCTGAGCGTAGTGGTAACGTGCAGTCACTTCCCAAGGATGAAGTTACTTCTCAGAGTTATATAGGCTCAGGCCTAATTAGATTTTCAACTTTTCTGGAAATCTTGTATATGCAAAGGAAGTAATTCTGATTTTTGTTTTTGTGTTTATTTTTCCCTGGAGGGAAAAAAAAGAAAATTATTTAAAGCAAGTATATTAAACATAATATATTCAGTATATTGGAAGTATATGCTTATATGTCTATAAAAATATAAATAATAGATTTTTCAATGGTGACAATACTTCTAAACTTACAGACAGAATGATGCTACACTGTAAAGTATTTTCTATACCTAGTGATTTCTCTCTGAAACATATGGTAGCAATTTTAGATTTAGAAGCATGAGCAAAAAAAATGGCCAAACTGATCCTTTGCTTAAATAATATTACACACATAAAGCTCCTTTCTAAAGAAAGTACTTAAAAATGAATAGCAAGTTCATTATTAAATACTTAACAAAGCAAAATAATAGCCCTATTCATCTGTTAACCAGAGAAATTTCTGACTGCTCTCTGTTTTGAAAGTAAATTTTGTAAGTGAAGGCTTTAGTAGTATATATTTAATTTTTAAAAGTCTGAAAAGTAAGCCATTTTGTCACTCAATAGCACAATATCTCGCAGCACATCTGCTCTGCTTGGTGTTGCTTTGCATGGGGTCTAGATGTCTAAATGTCTAATTCAGCATTGGCTTTGCTTTTCGTATATTGCATGTTCTCTGCCAGACCTCTGATCGGTTTCATGCGGCTTGAAACACAGCAAATAGTTAACGGGCACGACGAGGTTCGTGGAGCTGCTAGAGAGGGTTGAGCACAGAGCAACAAAGGTGATTAAGGGACTGGAGCACCTATCACATGAGGAAAGATCAAGCTGGACCTGTTTAGCCTGGAAAAGAGAAGATTGAGAGCAGATCTGTTTAATATGTATTTATCTCATATACCTGAGGGGAGAATGTAAAGGGGATGGGACCAAAGTCTTCTCAGTGGTGGCCAGTGATGGAGCATATGGTAATGGGTATAAGTTGAAAAACAAGAAGTTCCATCTGCATGTGAGGAAGAGCTTCTTCACTGTAAGGGTGAGAGAGCCCTGGCACAGGCTGCCCAGGGAGGTTGGGGAGACTCCTTCTCTGGAGATCTGCAGCACCTGCCTGGATGCTGCCCTGTGCTGTGTGCTCTGGATGTCCCTGCTCGAGCAGGGGGTTGGCGTAGATGTTCTCTAGAGGTCCCAACGGTTGGGGTTCCAACCTCAACCATTCTGTGATTCTGTGTAATGTGAGAAAAGACAAATGCACAGAGTAGTTGTCATTGATTTGAGGTGATATGGTCTAACTCCTGGGCAAAGTGACTAGTAAAATTTTAATGACAGATTTTTGATTAAAATGTTTTCAAGTTTCTGTCCAACAAGTACGTGGAGGATATCTGAGGGAAGGAAATAAACAACTAATGGAAAACCGATTGACATCTCTTCAGAGAAACATTCTCAGAGGGAGGAATAAGTTGGATTGGAATATAATTGTTCTTAGTAATTGAAATCAGCATGCAAACTTTAACAGAAGCTCCTAAAACAAGTAGCATTTCAAATGATATCTGAGTCATAAGCATTTTCTTGGTATTTTACTCCTTCTTTTATCCTGTAGATATTTACACTTTTGTCACACAGTTCTTTCAAAACGGTAGCATAGTCAGCAAATATATATACATATATATATATATATAAAAACATGCATAAATGTTTATACTTACCTGCTGGTTTTGTTTTCTTTTGTTATAGGGCAGATGATTCCTGAGAGAAGATTCGTAGAAGCAGTAAATCGGCAGCCATATCTGTATGAGATGGGTGACTTTCCAATAGAATGGGAAGGTAAATCTGGAAGCCTTTTTTATTTCAAGATAATGTTGCTGTTAGAAATATTGAATCTGAATCCAGTGCAATTCCTGACTATATGAAAAGATAATAGAGCCTTTAACAGCCTAGTTATTATGGATTCCTAAACTAATCTCTTACAAACAGGATAAGTTTAGTAAATCAGTAGTTAATAAAAATGTAAACAAAGCCAGCATCACCATGGCTATCTCCTGTTAAATTTCATAATATTTGTGCCTGAGGGTTATTTGATAGAATAGCTCAGCTTAAATGGGTTAAACTTCGTAATTATGCCTTTGCTGTGGTGTTAACTTGTTGGCCAGTTGAATTGTTCATGGCACAGTCAGTGGTGGCTGTGGCCATATGCACTGGGATTTTTGGGGTTGTTTTTGTTTTTCTTGGTCTTTAGAGGTGGTGGCTGGTTTCCTGTGCTCTTCCCTACACCCTGCTGTAGGGACAGCTTACTACAGCCTATTAAAAATTCCTTTTTTTTTTTTTCCTGCTACTATTGATGAAAACTTTGCCCCCAAAAAATGGGACATGGCGAGAAATTCGTGGGAGCTAGTAAAATTCCTGAAGAGGTTTAAGTGCGCTGAGCTGTCCAGAAAAGCATCTTCTCTGAGAAAACAGAAAGCACAGAGGGGGAAGCGTATGGAGTTCCTGAGACTGTGGGAGCTTGAGTCAGTGTGGGCTGAGGTGTGGTTTAAAATCCAGTGCTCTGTAGGATAAAGCAAGGAAACCCTGGAATAATAGGTACAGTTACCTCAGCATTCACTGCGTGCTTTGTGGAAAATAATATCCAAACATCTTTGGGAAAGTGTTAGGCTTAAAACAAGCAAAAGGAGATCTTTTTTAAACAGTGTGTAGTTAAATTCAACTTACTGAATTCCTTATCAGTTCAGTTCCTTAGTGGTGACTGCTCTGCATTCTAAAAATTTTCATGAGTTGAAAAGATGCTTAAAGAAATCCATGGAAGAAAAATCCATCTCACATACAGACATCTCTTGGTTTAATTTACCTGTGTAACCCAAATTGGTGGAGACTACTGTGCGCTTTGAGAAAATATCACAATATTCTTTGGGCCCAGTATGCCCCTCTCTGTAGCCTGGAGCGAAATGTCAGATGTTCCCACCTTGTCTTTTGTTGATGTACTGTCCACTCATTTCTTCAAATTTTTGTGTGACCAACTAATGCTGGAACTAAAAGCTTCTCAAAGCTGTTTCAGCCCAACCAGCAGCCTTTGCCATCAATGGGGAAAACAGAGTATCAACAGCTTCAGTCCTTCCCTATCACAGCACCCACCGCTGTGTGTGTAGGAGCTGTGTAGTCTCAGTGTAGTAGCTCTTTGCTCTGTATCAGTCTGCAGTTCCCCAGTGCCGGGCGAGGGCCCGGCCCTGCAGGGTTGTGCTGCATCTCTGCTTTCTCCTGGAGACTTACAGCTTCATGCACCATTGGATTAAATCCCCTAGGTAATCAGATCTGCAGGTTTTTATAACAGTTCTGAATGTCAATCAAGGCTTCTGTAAAACTGAAATGTGCTCCATATTATGAAAATAGATTCATAATCCCTTGTGTTCTTGGTCCAACATTTGTTACTTGTACATAAAATCAATTTTCTTTTCAAAACAATAAAAAGTTTCCTTTAATACTAGAGTATTAAATTCAAAGTCCTGTAATCCGTGCTCACAATACAAGTGTTAGATAGTCTTCTTTAGATAAAGCCTCAGATATTCTACGTGCTGGGATGCCTTCGAGCAATACGGATGCAGATAAGAGCAAACCTTCCTATAAAGGTAGTTCCAAGTTCACTTCCTGCATTACCCTGTAGAAAGGGCACGTTAGCTCCTCAGCACGTGGCAGCAGTGATCCTGAAAGCAGATCGGGAATTTTGCATACGTGGAGGGCTTCATGAGACTGCCTGCTTCAAGCCACTTCTTATTGCCCATCTACTCCTAGTCCTTTTTTCTTCCTCCTCCGGTAGCATTTAGTGATTAATGGGAGCCTTAATTTGCATGCTCACTTTTACGCTTATTACAGCATGTTATGTGCCAGTAGGAGCCTTAAAGTTCAGTGTAAATCTCATGCATACTAATGAGCATGCAAATGAGCAGCAGGCTCTCAAGGTATGAAACGTCTAGCTAGAGAGCCAAATCCTCCCCACAAAAGCAGCACTGCAAGGAGCACGGAATGCAGGAAGTACTGTCCTGATAAATTAGAAGCAGCAGCATAATTAGCTTGACATGGAGGCCATCTCTTTATTTCTCTGAGCATTTTTTGGGAGAGCCCAGGAAGCCTGGTTGGGCTGCACTTGGTCTGTTCCTGTTGCTTCCTCTACCTGGACCGGGTCTGAAGTGCCTTGCCCAGCAGTGCACGAGTGTGGTGTGCACTGACAGTGTAGTGTTCATGTGCAAGTCTTCTCTAGCTCTGTCACTAGGCGCTATTTAATTGAGTGTATTTGTGTGTCTTTAGCGTTCAAATAATATGTAACGCAGCACCTGCTTATCTTGTTTCCATCAGTAAATGTTTAATTGTAATATAAATCTTTTTAGTAATTTAAAACTGTGCTGCTTAAAGGAGTAAAGGAGGTTGCAAAGAAAGGAGAGGGATAAGGCTCTTCCAGAATGAAATTGTATGTGTTACTTTGTTTTAAAAGTAAACATAAGGTAAGTCTTAAAAATTCAAGTGAAAAAATGCTAGGTCCGATTTGGTTTGTTGGATTTTGTTAAAACCAGTGCTAAATCGATGAGAAATCACCAACGTAAGCAACAGACATGAAATCATACATTTAAATGTTTGTTATTGTAGCTGAAAAAAATAGCCTGAGGATTTACTATGGATGTATTTAAATAGGTTCAGTGTAGTTATGCAATGTTTGATATGAGAAATCTTCCTAAATTGAGGATTGTGTTGCGGCTTGTGAGTGTTAGTATTAACTGAGCTCTGTTAATGAATGAAAATGTTGGATAATACTCCTCACTTGACACATTCTGTTCTCCAAACTTGGTTCACTGTAACACTCTTCACTGTTTTACTTGTGGCTTGTTGAACTGAGGCAGATAATTAAATGATAAAATCTTTGATTAGAGGAAATCTGAAAGTCATTAATCACATAACTGACTGGAAGCCCTATCTGCCAGTGGAGAAGAGTATGCTGTAAAGTTTATATTTTCACAGTAGTTTCTAGCTGAAATTTAATTTTGTAGGATTTCAATTTTTAATTTAAGAATGATTAATTGTGTAATTAAAACGTAACTGTGAAGAAACTGTCATTTTAGGAAAATGTTGGAAGTCCTTAGGTGCTTAGAGCTGTGGAGTTGAAACACTAGTGTTGTAATAAACATCCTCATGTGATACAGAAATGAGGTGTGGAAAGGAGAAAGAAAATTCTCTGAAAAGAATTCTCCAGATTTTGAGGATTTAAAACTTTTTTTCTTCTCTATGGTAGAGTGTAAACTTGTGTATGATAGAAGTGTAAACCTGTGCCTAATATTTGTTTAGACTCAAAAGATCTGGGAAAAAGTGGTAGGGAGTGATGTTTAAGTATGCAGATGCCATGTAAGCACACAATTTGAAGAAAAAGGGTATTTTAGATGTCTGATTTACTTCTTGGAAGACGTTTTCCATTAATATCATCTGCTGGATAAGAAACAAAGCCAAGACCTTGATTCATATTGTTGTAGACCATTAACCTAGAGTTATTTAACCTTGTGGTCCTGGCTAAACTCTAAGCTATATAACACTGTTTAGCCTACCTTGATCCCTTTCTTATGCTAATTAGAAGTTATCTCTCCTAAAAGCACTTTCATAATGTTGCTGAAGCAGAATGATGCTTGTTTCATCCTATGTATAATCACATTTTCATTAGTGAGGTGAAATTATGACTCTGTGCAACTCTGTATGTTAGACTGTGTCTCTCTCCTCCTCCAATTTTCCTCAAAATGTAGCATAAATGGTACTAGACAATTAAAATCTGGAAAAGTTCCTCCGTAAAGCAGTTCTGAAACTTTACAGACATCTACCAAACAGAGCAGAAATTTGACTGGGTGATAATGAAAATGTCATTTTTGCTCTAATCTCCTTGCTCAGTAACAAATGTCTTAATTATCCAAACACACAAAAGAACATTTTGCCATCTATCTGTGCTTGGATCTGGCTTTCCTTATGTTTGTCCTTCTGTTGATTACTGGCCACTTGCATCCTGCTACTCGTGCATTTGAAAAATATGAGCAGAAGAGACAAATGTCTACAAAATATGCAAACGTGCACCTACCCATCCTGGGCATGGAGAAGCCACGAGGAAGTGTTAGTCGTTCTTCTAAAGAATGATGAGTCTTGCCCTGTATGAGTGTTCCCTGACAATCAGGGAATGTATTTATCTGATAACAGCTGCAGTGGAGTTGGAGCTGTCTGTAATAATTCATTGACTGAATGAGCCAAGATTTGGCAGTGACACTTGGTCTGTGCTGGGATCTCTTTGGGTTGCTGCAACCAATGATTTCTGAAATAACAGGCTGCGTTTGAGGTTGAAGTAGGTGTAGATCTATTGTTTTGGGGTTCATGATTGAAATCCTGAGTTGCAGGAAATCAGACTTGCTACTGCTTTAGGCAAAAATCACCTTTCAGTTGTTGTGTCCAGCATGAATTGGCTGGCGATGGAGCAGCCTTCCCTTCTTCCCTCAGCTAGGGCACTTCCCTACTGACACAGTGGGACTATTCCTTAGAAGTTTTGGGCTGCTTCTTGCAACCCTGACGAGAAGATCTATCCAGAGCTAACATAAGACTTCAATGGCCAAAAGGCAGAGGCAGGAGCCCTTTCTCTCTAGAGCAGTTTCACCCTTTTCCTGTCTTTCACTCTTTGTCCTGACATTTCTTACGAGGTTAAACTCAGCCTTGCACAGCAAGCTCAGCAAGAGGCCTTGCCACCACTGGAGCCCTGCTTCAGCCTTACGTTGAGCCTGGGTGCTCCACAGGCGGGTGCAAGCTCTCCTAACAGAGGTCAGTTCTTCCTCTGTGAAGACTGAGTGCACGGACAAAAGAAATAATTCCTGGCTTTATGTTTGGGGAGTTAATATTACAGCTTGACAGGCTGCTGCAAATTTTATAGAAATACTTGCTTTCCATTACAAATTTATTACAATTTTTGAATTATAACACCGTTTGTCATCTTTGAAATAATCCATCTGATTTTTTTTTTCTTTTGCAGCTTGGATAAGGAAAAAAAGAAATGATCCACCCACCATTGAGGTGAGAGATGCAATGCCTTTAAAATTTCAATTCTTGTAGACAAACTACAGTAATTAATTTATAATGGAGTTATTTGTCCGATAATTTTCCACTTGCATGAGAAAAATGGAGTATGTTGCCTGCCAAATTTGTGAAATCATATACAAAAAGCTAAAAGGTGAAAATCTAAACTCCGGTGTTGTTTAATTGTTTCTTTTATGGAAATCTATATGAAGTTCGGTTCTGGAAGATGACCACGGTCATCCAAGAGTTTAATTAAATCAATTCTGAAATTACTGCTGTGAATTTTTAAAGCGTGTCCTCTCTGCATTGATCCTTTCTGCTCTTGGTGGTTGACATTAAAATGCAGTTTTTCAAATCCAGCTGCCAGCATATTCATCAGCACAGCAAAACAAATTGCATTAACATTTTACAAAGCTAATGGGATGGGGGAGTCGGTGCCTTGACTTTTCCTGTAAGTGTTTTTTAATGGAATAAAGTGGAAGTCTTTCATGCTGAAGACTTGGTGAAGCAGGGAGTGCCTGTGACCGTTGGTCTGTGCGTGTGTGTGTCTGTGCACACAGGTGTGTACCCCCCACTCGCCTCCCTTGCCCTGCGTTTGTGTCATCGAGTGCAGTGACGGAGTAGATGAAGGCAAGAAGATCCAAGCTGGCACCCACAAGGGCAGATACTTGGCTCGCAGCAGCAGGAGGGGCTGCATCAAATTGAAGGGGCTGTGCTGGCCAGCTCTAGCCCCGGGCTCGGGCACTGAGCTCCTGAAATCTGCCTGGGACAAGTTGTCCAGCCGGCCTGCGTGGTCAGGTGCCCCATGCAGGAATTCTGTCCGTTTGTGTTCACAAGCCATAGCTTGCAGGAATGAGCTCACGTGGGGCATGCAGCTTTTCATCTGCTTCTGTCTGCCTCTGTTTCCCACTTTCCACTGAGGTCAGAGAGGTTATAGTATACTTTAGAATGCAAGAAAACTGTGCTAAATTTATTCTCTAAGCTTTTCAATACTGAAAAATCGACATTTTTTTCTTTATTTTAATCTTTAAAGATATGGGCTGAGTTGATTTTTCAACTATATCTTCTTGGATAGATCTTATTTTAAGTATCTCTAGCCCATCCTTACTGTATACATATTTTATACATTTTTTTTATTGTTGTACTCTTATGACACATGGAGGCAAGAGATGTTTCCTACCTTTACCGTATTATTTCCATGAACCAGGTGGCCATGGTAATTTTGTGCTAAGTAGAGTGTGCCCCAGAGAGCCTGGGCAGTCAGGTTTTTGGAGGTGATGCAATAAAACTTCTTACAGCACTGGAGGTGTCAGATCCCTTTTCAAAAAGGGAGTAAAGTGTATCTATAGTGAGAGAAGTCTGGATCAATAGTGTTTTAAATATTTAAACTTTCAGAAAAAGCGATTTATGGAGAATAAAAAAAATTGAAGTAATGGTGCATTCAGAGTTATAGGACTGCTTATACCTTCAGCTTCCTGAGGTAATGGATCCAGAAAATTATTTAGCAGCTAGATACTCTGTCTGCAGGCTGTGCACTGACCTTATCAGAGCAGAAATGATATACTAGGAATCTGAGAAGTAGTTACCTTTTCTTTCAAGTAATAACTAAAGTTGATCTTTTTTCCTTATAAAAAAGCAATTTAAAGTCTGTGTATGTTTAAAAAAAAAAGCTAATATTTTAACAATAAGACAACAAACGTCTTGAGTATTTAATAGTGTATTTACAATTATCTTATTCTGTGTTAATATGAGGATAGGAATGATCTACCATTTGTTCCAGTTTAAAATCCTTGTGCCACAACAGACAGTTCTTACAGATATAATTATAGTAGTGAAGTACAGATTGAATAGTGTTTGGTCCCTTTATATTGTACAGATTGTGTTTTAGCTACATACACTTTACTGGCTGATTCCCTGTATTATATTCTGTTTTTGACAGTAATGCTGATATGGTAAACTGCTGTTTGACAGCTATGGAACCAGGCAGTGTTTATGACCATATTTCATGTTGAAATCCTCTAAAGCAAATCTCCTTGTCCTCTTGCATATTTCTTATCAGGCTAAAGCAATTTCTGAAGGAAGGATGTAAACCCCACACGTTCTGCATTTTGTGCCTTAATGATATTTTACTGCTAGCATCGCATTGTAATGCCACACAAGAACACTACAGTTCCTAGAGCATAAATTCCTGGAGCTCTGCCTGTATTCCTCTCCCTGTGGTCTGCGGTATCACTTTTTTCTTAACTGTTTCTTCCCCCCCCCCCCCGCCCTTGTGTCCCTTGCCTATCATTTTTTTTCCTTTTTATTATCATATCTGGCATATGTAGAACTTTGTTAAATTTTCTGTTTCCCCATTCTGTTTCATTTGTTTGCATTTTATATTTGTCAAGCTTTCTGTTGAGCTCCAGTTACTGGATAATAGCGGTAGCCAAACTGCTTGGAGTGTCTGCTAAATGAACTCTGTGGTCAAATTTTGAATTGAAAATCTTGCTAGACACATCTTACCGGGAGGAGAAATGGCTGCGTTGTGGGAACCACTGACTTGGTGCGCAGTGTGGGCCAACAAAGCAGCATGTCGGAGTCACCATGACACATCAGTCACTTCAGTCTTTTGACAGTGACCTGTAGACTTGAGAATATTTTGTACTCGGGCTTTTTTCTTTTTCTCTCTAGAAATAGCTACTGATCTCTTGACTCTTCAAGTCTTATTTTTAGATAAAATAAAGTTTTATTTTTATGTAGAAGACATTGGTTGACATCTGTATTACCTTCAGACTTCTTAAGGTGGAAATGCAGGGCTGACTTCACCAGGTCACTTGTTCAGCTTGAGGTGTTTCATGTGCTTACAGTTTCTCTCCTTTTCTGCTCTCTCTTTCTGCACTTTAGGAGGGCAGGCGCCTAGAACAGTATTTTTGTGTGCTGGGCCAGTCACAAACCAAAAATACTGTTCATCACATGGGTTATTTCTAATGTGACCGTAATGTGAGGCATGTTAGTGGTTGGAAGTCTTAGGTTTTAAAAAGCAGCCTTTGGGATGCCGAAACAGTTGGTTGCTTTTTGATTTTATTACAACTTGAAATACCCCAAGTCTTGTCCTCGGCTCGGTCATGACGGTGCTGATGACTCTGCAAACGAGCACAGATCAAGCAGTTTGAACATAGCACCTCCTATGGTAATAAGAGAGCCCATTTTGATAGAGTTTTGGCTCACATCCCCACCTGCTGTAAGAATGCATGTGTGTATGTGTTTATATAGATATATTATACATATATGTGTATATATACATATATATACAAATACTGGTTATAGTAAGTAAGAATCTGTGTTTATATGTGCATCTTCGCATTGCTATATTTTCTATTTTTTGTCCCTTTACACATACTGTGTCATTTGGCATTATGTTTGTAGCTGTAAACTAATTTGAATCAGTTTAACAATAATAATTAAATAGAAAAGAATATTACCTTTTTATTTAATATATAGAAAAATAGATATGTGTAGTATTTGAGGCCAAATAGGAAATAGATTCTTGTCCTGAGACCTTATTGTTTTAAAGTAAAGAAAATATTTTAGAGATTACAGGTATTAAAACAATTTTAAATCAAAGGCTATGTTGTGGGACTAGATTTGTTAACATAGTACATCACGTGCAAATTAGTTTACCTGCTAAGCAGTCAGGTTGTCAGAAATTTTTAACATAAGTTGTATTGGGATATAGCAGTTGTTCTATACAAATATTTTATTCAAATGGGTGCAAAATATATTTTATAGTATTTTTAAATAAATATTTTAGAATATTTTTAATACACTTTTCTGTGTATCAAGCTGTGGCCGAATTTGACTGAGCATGGTCTGCAAGCCAGCAGACTGTCTCACATGCACTTCTATCTTGCTATTTTTCCTTCTGACAGTAATTTTAAAAATGCCACATTCAGTTTATCATTGTAGAAGTTGACTGTTGCATTTTGCATATTTCAATTGCAAAAGAATTTAAAAATATTTGGGGATGGGGGAAGTCCATGTCTTGAGGTTCCCCCTTGGGGATCATGCTGCCCTTCCATAGCTCAACAGAAACCTCCCAAATGTGAGAGATGTCAAACACCATTCTGCCCGGCCATGCATTGCACTCTGTTTTTGGTCCTGCTTTCAGTAAAACAGCTCCATGAATCCCAAACTCAGTGCTGTTGATAAGAACTTCCCAAGATTCCTAAGAACTTTGGTGACCACTCATCTTTATGTGGTATCCACATGCCCTCATTGCTTATCCACATTGCTGTGCTGTGTGTCTTCTATATTGTCTCTGAGTTATATTCCTTTGCTTAAAAAAAAAGAAAAAAGTTTGAGATAACATTATGCAAGTATATATTAAAAATTAAGGAAATGCTTATTTTCTGCTGTTGCAGCTGCTGTCTGGGATAGTGGCTGAATGCATGAAACACTTGCAAGATCTCTCATCTTTATAGGATCAGCATGCAACATGTAGCCAGTTTTTCTCCCTTCTAGATGGAAGGAGTTTAAAATCAAAAATGGCTTAGATAACTTACATATAAGAAGTACTGAGTTCTTAGTTGATAAACCTTAAGAATTTAAGAATTATGGTGGCCTGTTTCTAAGGCTATAGCAAACTTGAAAAATTATTGGGCACCTAGTGAGACTTTAAGAAAATCTCCATACGAAAGCTCCATTTGATTTCTCTGATATTGCTAATTTCAGTGGGCCTCACATTTGTAGGAGCCTTTAGAGATTTCTCCTTTCTGTAAAATGAGGAACCTGACTAGATTGTGGTAGGTGTTTGGTGTTTGCTTTGAGGCTTCTTTTTCTGGAGCAGACCTTGTAGCTTCATGCTACTTCTGACCATGTCCTTCAGTTTGAAGAATATTTGGATGACTTGGCGCTGTATGTGTCCTTGTCTGTAAAATGGGCAGAATGGACTGTGGAAACTTGTGGGGAGAGGAACATGATTCATTTCTGAACTTGTCCCTGCGATATCCTGCAATTTCCAGACTATGTGAATCTATGGGCAGACTCATGAATACAGATTTTTAGACTAGAAGCAGCCTTGCTCTAAGCTGCAGGCTACTTCTTCCATTATCCATATGGGACTGGTTAGCTGGAAATATTCTCATTTGTAGTTGAAACCTCACTGTTGCTTTGTTATTCATGTGTATGTATGTTAATATTTTATGGGAGCTAAAGTAGAATTGTGTGTTCCTTTCACTAATGTCAAGAGTCTGGAAATAGTTTTGAGTAGTAAATATCACAGAAAATGATTATTTTTCTCATGCATTATGTACTTGATACACAGTCATAAAGCTAAATGGCTCCGGGATTGCACAGTTGGATACAAGGTGAAATGTTAAAAGAAGAAACTTTTTGTGACAGCTCCTGTCTTCTTTCAAACTATTTCTAGCATTTCCATAATTATCTGTTTTGACAACCTCCTTGTCAAGGGAGGAAAAAGATGTACTTAGTGAGTCGTAATAAGCATAAAGTTTCAATAATTGTTTTTTCCCCACCTTCCCAAAAGAGAATAATTATATTGCAATGACATTCTGTTTAGTTGCCTAATGCATACCTACTTTTTCCATTTGTTTCATTATAAACATTATTTATTTGAAAGATGATCTGATCAACTATCTTCAGTCCATGGAGATTGGTTTATACAAAATTCACATTCTTTAAACCAAAATGGGATGCAATCTAGAAAAATGATTTGTTTGACACTGCTTTTGAAATGGGCAGAGTGCCTTTTCCCCCAGAATAACACTGAAGGCACACGACACAGACTGTATCTTAATGCCATAAGTGGTTGGAGACACCTCCTCCAGAATAAAATCTGAATAAAGCAAATTGTACACTGGCTGAAATTATTTAGCCAGACTGAAAATATTTAGTCAGAATTATTAGGAGGCAGCAACATGATAAAAATGAAAGAACTGCAGGCTACAGGCTGCTAAGCAGGAGTTCCCTGCAGTCCTGTAGGCCCTGAGTCCTTGTATTTGAGACAGAGTTCTTGATTTTCTTCTGTAGAGTAGAACGTGCCTATGGTTCCTTTCCAAAGAGGAGGGAATGGCGTGATACTTGCTGCCAGAGGGAAGCCAGAGCAAAATAGGGAGTTTGGAAGAAAGGTGGAAATTACAGAAGGTCCCTCAGATGTCGCAGATGGGCACGGAGGGTTCAAATTCTGGGGCAAGGGAAAGCAGGGTCTGTTCTGCAGCGCTGCCCTGGGGAGGCAGCAGCTCTGGCTCTTCTGCTCTGTGGCCGCTGCCAACAGGCTGCGTTTCCTTCTTTGTTCGTGGAGCTGCTGCCATTGCCAGGATATTGGGGTATGTGCAGCTTTAAACTCCACATAGCTGTGCTGGCGTTTCCTTAGAAATAATGGCAGGTTCTTTGAGACAGTATTAGAGATTGTTTCCTTAAACACTGCCTTCCTAAGAAGGGAAGGTATTTCAATTAAACCCCACAAGCAGCTGCCAGCACTGAGCATAAGTTTTTCTTTTACATCCTACTTTAATGGCAGAAGTCACTGCTGGACCTAGACCTGGGCTCACTGCGTCTGCCTTGTCCCAAATGTTGGGAGTTAAGGTGATCATCTAAAAGTTGGGGTTTCAATGGGTCTAAGAGGTGGCTGGTTGTCTTCTGACATGCTTTGTTTTTTATTTTTGCAGAATAATCCTAATCCTTAAGTTTCTGTTTTAATTCAAATGAGAAAGCATTTCTGATATTCTTTGGCTGTTATGTGGCCTCCTGAATTTGTAAGGTCAAGGAACTAATATCATTTATTTGTAAAGAGAGCACTGTAGGTGTTGGAAGGCTAAAGCAAACGCTGTGACTGCTAGTTATCTGGTAGATGTAATACATGTGGTTAGTAGATGTATTTCCCCTAAAGGTCAGAGCCCGTTACACACTCATGTTCACATATTTCCTTGTAAAGCCTCATGGTGTTTCCTTGGGCAGCTGCAAATTAAGGTAGCCCTTTTATAAAACACGCCAGCTCATGGAGGAGGAGGAGGGAAGGAAGCAGTGGCGAAGGGGGCAGTGTTGGCCGCAGTGCAGCACGGGCTGGCGCGGCACCGAGGCGGCCCTCACAGCGCAGGGCCTGCAGGGAGAGAGGGGCTCTAGAGGTCCTGTAGGCTTGCAGCCCCTTTTAAAGATCATTTATCCTGTAATATGCATGCAATAGTGTGATGATATTTTGCATTGTGTTTAATTATGCTATGGAAATTTAGAATTGCATTCACTTTTCCTCTACCGGTGGGAAACTCGCAGTCTGGTAACCACTAAAACTGCGGTGGTCATGGTAATTGAAGCAGTAGTATTTAGAAATGCAATCAGTGATGGAAGAAATACTTTTCATAGGGAGATTCTAGAATTAAGTAAACTATTTGCTGGTGACTTCAAAACAAAAAAAAAGAACTCAGTGTCCTATGATATGCTTGCACAGTACAAACTCATCATCAAAGGACAAAATGTTTAGAAAACTTTTATATATTTAACCCAGTTTTTGTACTGTGTCAAGTACACGATTCCTGTTTCCTATTTGTCTTAAAGTACAAACACAAACCCTTATTTCAGTGTACATGTTAATGATGTGAATTTCATGCCTGAATTGGATGCGTAGAGTCTCCTTCACTTGCACTTTTTGCCTTGATGTGATTGTATAGATTCTGAACGAGTCACCTCTGTATTCTTTGCAGACTGATGATAATCTCTTCTTACATTTTTTCCAAGATCAAAATGTTTATTTTACTAGATCAGAACTCTTCTTTGGCCAGTGAAAGCTCATTAAATAGTCTTAGCTGATTCTGAAAACCAGATGACAATTACTCATCCGAATATAATATGGACTTTTAAAGCATTTGGAATTTAGTTGCAGCTGTTATCTGACTGTATAAGGTAAGGCAGGTAGTAGTGCTAATACAGTCCCTGCAAAAGCTTTGAAATTAGTAAGTAACTGTTCACAGGAAATGAATTACATGTGTTTAATAAATCATTTGATGCTTCAGACTCTTCAGATATCACAAGGGTATATGTCCTTGTTCCTTGAGAGTGGGCTATTACAAGCACTGTCAAAATAATTACCTTGAAATCAGTAAGTTTATAATAGTTTTATACAGGCACCTGGTAAATGAGGACAAAATTGAAAGCAGTAATAATGAATTTACATTATTCTGACTGCTTAAAATTAGACCCTGGGACATGTCACAACATCTTAATGTGCATAGGAGGCAATCCCTCCCCCTGTCACCTTTTCATTGAAAATGTGCTTATCTGCTACTTGTGTTTTTATTAGTATAAAATTGTCTGTGAATTTAGATATAGAGACAATTATAAACAAAGAAAAAGATGTTAATTTTCATAATAGCTCTATGATGAACTTCTCTTGAAATATTTTTCTACGCTCTTAAATGTTGTGTGTGCTTGTAACTTCAACTCCTATTATGTTTATTTTAATACCATTCCTAAAATAATTCCATGGTTTCCTGCTCAGAGAGGAGTACTGGCCTGGTTTTTCCCTGTCTCTAGCATATACTTGTAACTGGAAAAAGATGTTCAGCCTTTTTGTCTTGCGTATCACGACTCTAAATGTGGCCGTCAGCAGTTCCTTCACACCATGGGGCCATTTGCAGCTACATTGTATTTGGGTTCACAGTATGATAGAAATTCATTCCAGCTTTCTTTTCCTTCTAATAATCTTCCCCATCTGCCCTACCAAAAGCGTAGAGATATCTTGTGAGCTGTGTCTGCAGATCATGCTTCCTCTAGGAACATGATCACAGATGAAGGACAAACCGCAGTATTTTTTGTTGTTTTTCCCTTTTCCTTTTGTTTGCATTTACTTCAGGAATTCTGTACTCCAGCAGCGTTTGCTAGTTGCTGTCTTTCTGCAGTTCTAGTGTTCAAGTCTTGGTCACGCTTGCCTCAGCTCATAGCCTTGGTATTTCACTGTGGAAGCAGCCCCCTCGCAGTTCACTGGTGCTCACCTATCTAGGTGAATGGCCAGCTTCAGCCTGCACCCAACCACATTCCGAAGCAGCACATCACTAAAACCTGTCGGCAGTTTGTAGAAGCCACTGTGAGTAGAGAGCAGAGGCTGCAGGGCAGGTGGCCGCCGGGCGAGGATGCGCTGGCTGTGCTCGCTCCTCGGAGCACCCCGGCCCTCGCCTCCCACCTTCTCCTCTGCAACCCTGTTGTTCTGCTCTTTGGATTCCTTCCCCTTGGAGAGTTTTATACCCCTTTTGCTGGCTGTTTTTTTATTATTTTATTTTCTCTCCAACTATTAGTACCATCAGAGAGTCAGGGTTGCGCACCAATAGTGCCCAAAACTGGGCTCTGGTCACAGATACCTAACTCAGAGGGTGGAGTTAGTGAGAGGGATAAATAGCAGGAAATTCTACACAGAAAACAATGTGAAACGTAACCTATATTTTAATGCGTTTTTGCACTGACATTCAACAATGTATTTAATCATTTTTCCCTTTAGATGCAACAGAACAGTGAAACTGGGGCACCACAGTGCGGTTTTGTTCTGACAGTCTGAGCAGGACACTGAGACCATTTTAAACAGGGGCTGAAACTGAAGTTGTACAAAAACAGTTAATTTTGCAGTTTAATAGTTAATCATTTTATTTTACACTCCATGATTTAGGGTAAGGAGGTAAAACAAGAGAAACAAGGACTGCTCATGTGTTTTATTCCAATATCGTGTACTATATTTATCTAATTATTTTTTTCTACTGTGTTTCTTTTATTAGGAGATTCTTAGGAATGAAAGTGTTAGAGAAGAAATGAAAGAGAAAATCAAAGACGTAGCTGAAAAGGACAAGCTCCTTCAGGCCACGGAGTACAAGGAGGGAGCAGTAGCAGAACCGGCTCGTACCCACGTGAAGGGCCACGCGTCAGCCCCCTACTATGGAAAGCAGGAGCCTTCCCAGGATCCTACGAGCACCGCAAATACTTTTCAGCCGGGTTCCTGGATGCCACCAGGCAGCAGGAGCAGTCCAAAGAAATAAAGAATTTATTCAAGTAATGTACAGGTATTGCTAGTGGCTAAATACTTTAATAGAGAATGCAATAACTGTAAGTACATCCTCTGTGTGCAATAAAGTAATGTTAAAGCTATGTTTATTTTTGGAGAATTGTTAAGATAGGCTTAATTATGACAAACCACTTTTTAAAGTATGTTGGGATTTAGTGAAAGAGAGGATATACTAGGGATGAGTTTGTTTATAAATAGTTGCTGTTCTTTGGTTGTTTGTTATATCGCTTTAGCTAAGAGGCTTTCCAGTTAAATGAATGAATAGCTTTTGTAAAATAATTTATTTTTTACTTTTGTGAGACAATTTAGATATAATCAACTTTAGTATGCCTAAAAATGATCTTAGTTCTCAAACCTAGGCTTTTGGTCAATATAGTTCCTTAGAAATCCTATTAATTCCATCCACGGCACCAGTATGTCTAGTTGATCTCCCTAACAGAAAGTAACACTACAGTGACTATCCTTATCAGTAATTTTAGGCATATAGTTATTAACTTACATTAATGAATGAGTCAACAAGAGTAAGCAGAAAATGCAACCAGTTAAGTACTATAATAAGGTTTAGAAGCACTTACTACAGCTAAGGGAAAGAGCAAGTGTGTTCTTCTGGCTGAAGAGCCTGTCAATTGTAGCCAGAAGGAGCAGTGGTAGCTTGTTCTTTTCCTTTCTCTGCCACCTACCAAAGCAGCTGAAATCTCACTCTTGGCCTAAGGGCTGTTTTTTATTTTTTTCAATAATTATTATTTCGGAGTGTATGCTGGGACTTCACTGAATTTTGTTATATATATACATATGTATACATAATATATATGGCTGTAGCTTACATATACAGAGATTATTTTCGAAGCAACTATGCTTGAGATTTTAAAATCAAAATAAAGCACACATTTCTGAAAAAGTACCAAATTTATTTATGCAGTGTAATCTGTTCCCTTCTGTATTCTAATCCATGTAGATATCAAAGGCAGCAACATCCAAAGAAAAACACCGGAGAAGAGTATTAATTTTGGAAACCATAAAATTTGTAAACATTATATTCTAACAGTACTTGCTTTGATCAACAAAATAGAAAGAGGGTCAAAAGTTAATGTCTGCATATGAATATTCCACATTTATTTTTTATTTCTGTGAAGCTCCTTTTAATCCTGCTATTATCAATCACCTCTCCAGATCCACTTGAACAATATCTCTGACTTATCTAAAAAGCAAACACAGAAAAAACCCAGACAATGACTGAAGGAAGAGATGCCAGGAATCATAACTGTGCTGCTGTTTAGACACATATTGAGTCTAATAACATAATGACTGTCTCTTTAGTCTAAAAATTAAGCTTTGAGAAGCTAATCATTTCTGTTTAAATGAATTTAAATTAAGGTTAAATTCAGTTAAGGTTAAAAGGTGTATTTATAACCCAACCAAATTTGGATTTTTTCAGAATACCAGCTCTTTGCAACCTTGAAAGCAGCAGAGTTCCAGAGGCTGTGGAACTCTGGGGAACCCCTCCCCACCACAAACCCTGAACTGAGAAGGTCCTACCTCACAAGTAGCTGGAAGGTTGGAAAGGAGGAAGAATTATCACAGATGCATATCCTGCATCCATGTGCTACAGGCCACTGAAACAAGGATACTAAGTGAGGTGGGGCCTTGTGTCTGGCCCCATTTATGGCTGTGCTTTTAGACACAAGAAGTTTCTGAAGGCAGAAACCGGTTATAGCTACAGTGCTCAGGTGATAATCAGGCAAAGCTCGAAACAAACAAACGCAAGTTATTTTGTAGAACTGGGGCAGTCTGAGACCTTTTAAGCAGTCAGAAATAACAACCATCCAACCACCCTCCACCCACCAGCTTCCTGGAGTTGGGCCTGAAACTGAAAAAATTCTGGCGATGGTGAGTAGCTCAGGAACCAAGGAGAAAGAAGTTTCTTGGTGCAGGCAAGCCTCACTATGAAATAAGCTACACCAGCCTCTGTGCAACTCAGCATTACCAAACCTGTGTGAATAGCTCTTCATCTGGGACCATCCTTAAAGGAAATCAGTAAAAACTATAAAGCTCTAAACCTGTTTTCTCTGTACAGCTCTGCCACAGGTAGGCCAAAACATGCCTTTCTGAAATCCAGTTTATCATGAGCTACAACCATCTTTAAGCACCACATAGGCTAAGTGCTGTGGAAAGTTGGTGCAGCAGTGGAAACAGAGTGGCTTGCTTTGCTAGGGACCAGAGATCACAGCATGAAGGAGTCAGTTCACATCTTCCCCATAATTTAATTGACAGATTTAGGATAATTATTAAATCATAGCTCAGTTAATGAAAAATATCTACCTCTAAATCCTACCCCCACCAGCAGTTAAAGTTTTGTATTTAACATGCAAATCTAGAAAAACCAAGCTGCATTAGAGCAGTAGTAGAAAGGGTTGTATCAAGTGTCATTTCAACACAAATCATTTCAGCAGAAATAATAGCTGGAGTTAAAATTTCATACTTCAAGAAATCACAGGATCAAGTATCAAAGGAAGGTTATAGCAGAAAAAGTATTGTACAGCAGTGCTTCATTGGAAAAAAAAGTTGGTTCTTCGCACAAGGAAGGCATTTTTGCCCTTTTAATCCTTCTTTGTTCGTTTGGCTTTTGCAATATTTTCCTGGCGCTTCTGTTTCTTCTTCTGCTCTCGCTCCTTGGCCTCAATCATCTTTGCGAGCTTCCAGGACAGGGCGGCGCTGATGACGAACAGCGGCGTGAGGGCCAAGATCACCGTGGTGAGGAAGCCGTAGGGGTCCTTTGCCGCCCACTCCACCACGTACTGAGCCCACGCCTTGATATCAAACATCTTGGCTCTTTACTGGGGAAACCCTGCAAGGCTTCCTGTAAGGAAAATAATTCGGAGGGGTCAGAAAAGTCAGAGCATGTGCACACAGCAGATACCATTTTAATGTAAATCATCACTGCTCGTTCTGAAAGAGAAGCTGTTTTGGACCAGAAGGCAGCGTAACGCGGGCGCCCCCTCCCCTCCCCTCCCCTCACCCCGCCGCGCTCCGCGGCGACCGTTAACGGCCGCCCCGCCCGCGCCAACGGCCGCGCGGCCCCCACCTGCGGCGGCAGCGCGCGCCGCCTCGGGCATCCTCCGCGCGGGCCCAGCACAGGTACCGAGCGCGGGGCGCAGCCGGGCCGCCCTCTCTGCCCTCCTCTTCCTCTCGGCCTCCCCGGGACCGCCCCGCCGCCTCCAGGGCGCCGCCGGAAACAGGAAGGCGGCGGCCGCTCCGCCCAGGCGCGTCGTCCTCCGCGGCAGCAGCCGGATAGAGCGGTCCCGGAGCGCTCCTTCCCTCCCTTTCCTCCCATCCTTCCCTCCCTCCCCGTTTTCCTTCCGCCGCGTCACGGTGCGCGCGGCTCGGGAATCCCGCTCCTCGCGGCGGGGCCGCGCGGCTCCGGGAGCCTGCCGTGCGACTCGGGAATGTTGACGTTATTCCAGGGACAGCGGGAAGGCGCTTGGGAAGCGGAAGGAGAGGGTCAGCGGCGGGGGATGTGGCTCCCCGGAGGTGCCCTCGCCTGCCCCTGTGCTCGGTGCCGCGCGCGGGTTGTGCTGCAGGCAGCGCCTTTCTACCTAGACGCTTAAATCAAAACCTGTGCTTAGCGTGCAGGCTGTGAAACGTASTCTCCTTATGTGTGTTTTGTGGCATTTATACAAATGTTGAAATCCCAGGGCTACAGGTCCCTGCCGCATTTGTGGCTTGCAGATGTTGGCAGAAGAGCAGATCTAGATCTATCCGAGCAGTTTACTCTGATACTTCAGCGATGCTGTTTTAATAGCATTACAGGATATTTTGCGTCAGGTGTTGCGAGGCTAAAAGTAGCCAAGCAGCGACTCAGGGAATCACCCTCTGGAACTGCCTGTTGCCTTTCACAGACCATAGAGGGCTCTGAGGATCACGGATAATGCTCCAGATTTAAACGCCTCCCTTAAATGCCAAAGTGAAGTGCAGGGGAGCCAGACCCAACAACAGCTGCTTAGGACTTCTCCTTAGGTCGATCAGCTCTGTGACCTCATGCACATATAGGCGATGGTATCTGCTTTCCTTCTGAAGTATTTTGAAGTTGTTGAATAAAAGGAACTGTGTCGTTGTGACTGCTTAATTTTTAGGTTTGGGTCTGTCAGAATTAACTGGTTAATAACATCTATAAAATGTTTAGGAAGAACTGTGTTTAAGAAAGACTCAATCACTTTAACAGAACTGGGCTACATGCTGCATACACATATGCAGTGTATGCACTGACAGATCTTCAGGGGAAGCAGCCTCTTAATCCCCATCAACTATGGCCAGGTGAGGCTGCCTAAAATACATTCTTACCACTTGATAGTCTGAAGTCCCCAGTTTTAGAAATTAAGCCTGGAAAGTCTCTTCTGAGGGAGCTAGGCTGGTTGTCAGCTATTGGAGGTAACTCTGTCTTCTGAGCTCTTTCACAAACTATCGAATCTCTGCTTTTGATCTCCTACTTTCCATTAAAATTCTTAGCAGCTAAATTGAAAAGAAAAAAAAAGGAAAAGTGTGAATGACTGTCTGAAACTTTCGAAGAACGTTCTGCCACAACATTTTGCTAGATGCGCCAGAAGCCAAAAATTTGAGAAATGAAAAAGCAGGTGACACAATCTAAAAAAAAAAAAAAAATTCTATTTCAGAAATATCACATGTAAAGAAAAAAAAGAAGAAACAAAATTTGTGTTATATTGTAGGAATTGCGGGAAAGTGGCAAAAGAAACACAAGAGGAAGAGGTTAAGGCCAGCAGAGTTAAAAGAGTTAAAGATAACGATGGTTTTTGATTATGTTCTATTCTAATAAAAGAATTGGTCCAGGAAATGTTGAAGTATTTAGTAAATATTTACAATATGCAGCTGGAGAAGAGTCTTATTCATGGCCTAATACGTGCATGCACCCCCTTATGGAAGGGTCGGGCAGGCTTGGGTACCTCAGAAGGCCTCTTCTCTGGGGAAGGAGCGATTCCAGAAATCCATGTTCCAAGAAATCCTGTGGCCAGGATTAAACAGGAGCCAGAGTAGGTGGTCACAGCGCGTAGTTGGTATTCAGCGCCTTTGCTGTGAAATCAAATCCAGTGATTTCAGCAGCAGAGAGGTGAATTCATGGTGGCAGGAGAGCCTTTTTTTTCCTCAAATAGATTTATTTCAGATTCGAAGATGAAATTTTATCACTATTGTTTTTGAAGCAGTCTGTGAATTTTATGTTTGTTTGTTTGTTTCCTCAACTGTACTGTTGAAAAGGGAAACCTTTTCCTTCCTCTTCCATCAGGCATCTTCCCCCTTAGAGGAGAAATCCCAGCACTGTCCTTTCTGCAGGGAAAGCTTTCCGTTCCTCAGAAGCACCAGGGCAGCAGGGAGGGCAGCCTTTTGCCTGCTCTCATTCAAAACCATTTTTCCCATTAGTCACAGTCCTTTCCGAGGCAGGGAGAGGCAGGGGTGGGGGCCCCCTTTTTCATCCTTAAAACATCTTGAGCCAAACAAGTATGTTTATGCTCAGCCCCAAAGTTTAAATCCTCTGCGCTTGTGTTTATTTAAATGGTCAATCATTTCCACTGGCAATTCTGCCCTCTCCGTGTCAGAGCAGTGGGCAGAGAGATGGGAATTGCTGTGTTCCTGGTAAGCTGCCAGGACCGCACTGTCCTGCCCGCTGTGCCAATGGGAAGAGCCAGCGCGCGGCCTCCCTTGCTGCATGCGAGATGCTCGTGAGCCCCGGCCCAGCTCTGCCCCTGTGCTGCTGACACTGAATTTCCCTGCGGTTTTGCTGCGAGGATAATCACACTCACAGAAACAGCAGCGGGAAGCACGATACAAGTTTTATATCCTGAAAATCATTGCTTAGATCCATGAGAGCAAGACACAGAGTGGTTTGGCCTTTTAGCCATGACTGCTTCTTGATTTTACCCCACTGGAGAATCGGGAGGGGAAAGGGTTTTTCAGTGCTTGAGAGATGATTGTGCTGAATCTGCTCGTTGGAAGCACTTTAGGATATTCCCCTTCCTCAGAGAGTTAAGAAATTAAAACATAGATGTACATTCCAAAGACGGGTAAAGCAAGGAAGAGAAGTGCTTGCCTCCGAAGGCGCCGGGTGGCTGCATCCAGATCCCTGTATCGAGGATTGGATTCCCTTAGGGCTGGCTCTGAGTGACTGGGAGCAGATACTTGCAGATGCTCTTTGCCCTCGTTAACCTCCCTGTCAGTGCCAGAGCAGTGTAAAATACCCTTAGTGTAACTGAAGATTGGGCTGCCAACTGAAGATTGAAGTAGGTTTGTGGCTTCTTTCATAGAAAATGCTTATATTAATTTACAAACACTGTCGTAAATCTCAGCTGGAAAAAAACTACATATGCTGAATACCTTCACCTTGCTGCCATGTGCAGAAGTTGGGGCCTTACTGGCTACTTGCCCTTTGGAGAGAGGTCAGTAATGGGATGTCTGGACAGTTTGCAAATGTATCTTCTGTATTTGCATCGTGTCCATCCTCTGTGAGAGGTGCTGAGAAACTGCCCAGGCAGGTCAGTTTTCCAGAGAGCTTCAGCCCTCGTTCCAGTCTTTTCTCAGCAAACACCCTTTATCAAGGCTGTAACTTCTGTCAATTCTAGGCTGTATGAAAGTTCCCCTCAAAGGGTCTCCATTATAAATAAAGCGGAGCCATCAAAATAAAGTGACCCATTGTGCCACATTCTTGTCACTTACGTTGCCATTTAGCATCTTTCATCCACAATTGAGAATGCATTTAAAATATATTCAACACAGTGTCATGAGATTTCAGGAAACAGCATCAGGTTGCTGCTCAGTTAAAATAATTTGGGATTGTCTTTCTTTCAGATCCTTCAAACATTGTCCATTTCCCTAATGCAGTCAGTAAATGTGGGAAAGAACAAGAGATTTTGCCTGTGATCTGCTGCATCAGATTGCAGCCAAATTTTCACTGCCTGTGAACTGTTTTCCTGTGGGTAGGTTGTGCTTTCATCTTGGTTGTGGTTTGTTCCTATATTCGGTTTTAAATGCAGGAACTTCCCTGGCTTTCAGTTAGTGAGGAGATTTTCTGCCTCTCAGCCCGCTGGGCAGCGCTGTGGTGAGAGCTCTGGATGGTAACGGTGCTTGTGTAGTGCAAAGGGTCACATCTTAATAATGCGTGAGGGAACAAATTTCACATTTATTGATTTTCAGAGACTTTTGTGTGTGAATCATCTTTCACTTTTATTCTCTGCAAGTTCATGGTATAATAATAATCCTGAAGCACTAGATGCCAAAATATAACGTGATGCATTCAAAAGTGGACTGTACCGTTGTCTGTAATAAGCCATGCAGATAAATATATGTATAAGTATAGATACATACACACATACACACATATATATATAAACACATATAGTAGTGTTCTGTCTTACTGTATTTGAACATACATATCATCTGATCATGCGATACAAAGAAGCAGTAACAGTAATGTCTATCATTGGTGTTCTAAAGTCTGTTAGAATTATGTTATGTGAACTATAAGGGGCTTAGATTTAACATCTGTGCAGAACATGGCAAAATAAGAGAGAACTTAATTCTATAAATGCAGTTCTTAGTTAGACTGGTGCTTCTTTAAAATAGGCCTAATTGTATCTATATTTATTCCTCCTTTAAGGTCCTCCTATTCTGCCTGAGTGACGTAAAGGAGCCATAACATTGATCTGCCTTTCTTTGTAGTTATTATTACCACCCTAATGTTAAAGGCTGTTCTTGTTCTGTTCTGGGTTGGAGGGAGATTTGTATATAATTATTTATTTCTTGTTGGGGTAACAATTAGAGCAGAAATACAATGCATTAAATAACTTCATAGGCTCCTGAAAGTAGAAAGAGCTCAGATCTCTTCCATTTTCAGACCAATTCTGTATTCTTTCAGGTTTATTTATATGAATCTTCTTCAGTCATGCTTTGTGATGTTTTAGAATGTTATTGAACAAAATTTCTCCAACCATTGTGTTTTACTTTTCCTCATAAAAAGTAAAGGGCAGTACAGCACATGGCTTTCTTTTTACAGTCTACATTTCCATTTATTTATTGATTTGATTTCTGCAGCACCAATTTGATTTTGCAGTGTGTCAGGAGAGGTTGGTGTCCTTTTAGGCCACT